TTAGAAAATATAGATCATTTAGAAAATTGAGCATCTACTAATTATTAATACTAGGCACTATGCTTGGCTCCAGGGAAAAATAATTAAATATTACATATTCCCTTTCTCTTCCTAGATCACAGTTAGGGAACCAGACAGATATACAGTGCAAGGAGAACCACAGTAGAAGAATGTCCAAGGTACAGAGGTGGTGTAGAGAGAATGATTAATTAACTCTGTGGGTATGAGGAGGAATAGGGGTGCCAGAGAAGGTTTCCAAAAGAAGATTTTTTTTTTTTTTTTTTTAGTTGGAGTCTCACTCTGTCACCCAGACTGGAGTGCAGTGGCCGCTCCCGGCCACCGCGGCCTTGACCTGCTGGGCTCCAGCGATCCTTCCGCCTCAGCCTTCCAATGAGCTGGAACTACAGGAGCTGGAACTACCACGCCCGGCTAATTTTTTGATTTATTGTAGAGATGAGGTCTCGCCAAGTTGCCCAGGCGGGTCTCAAACCCACGGGCTCAGGCAATCCACTCACCTCAGCAAGATTTTAAAAGATCAACTCTGAAGCCATCAAGCAGCACAGAGGGAAGGACATTCCAGGAAGACAGAACAGATGACACAAAGGCACTGAAGAGTCAAACAATATGATGTGCTCAGGGGAATTCCAAGCAGTACAACATTGCTGACCCTAGAGTATGTGTGGCGTGCGGGGACTGGAAGGAGAGCAACAGCAACATCTCTTAGATGGAGACTGTATTTGTGAGGCATAGAGTGGCACAACCAAAAAAGTGCATTGGGCTGATTCTTGAGCTGACACACACACACAACTGATGGATATGAAGACAAGCATAGGTTAAATAATCACAGGACATTTTAGTCCGTCTATTACCAAATATACAAGGCAGCAGGCTTACAGTTTTTAAAATACAATATATCTTTTCTCTTGAGGCCCTTGTCCATTTCAGAGTAGTGAATGTTGACGCACAATAAAAATGTACTTTGCTGATGACAGCATGAAATCACGATGCAGTTTCCATGTACCTCTTTAGTTGGGACAGCTTTTTGTTACCTTACAGAATTGTTCATCTTGTAGTTTTCTTGTGTGGTTAAATGAAAAATTGTAAATAGTCTTGTGGTACCTGGAACCAAGTATATCCTCAATAAATAATTTTTGACTGGCCAAGTCTATCAGACATTAGATACATTTAAAGCACATAATATGAGAAATTTGCAGTTTTAAGCGTTTACTATTAACTCTGCTGAATCTGCCACATTCGATCAATTCTTTATGAATGACTGTTAATCTGTTAATGTTTATTTGTATGAATTCAACTTGTTTCCAACTTAGATTTTTAGAAATAATATTATAAGGCTGATTGCTGTTAATTTTTAGATGAAGAATATTCCTTTAGACCAGCACAGCTTTGCATGTGGTAGAGCAGGACCCAATAAATGTTTGTTGGGTAACACTCTACCACAGAATGGATTATTAATAGCTTTTAACTAATGACTTAGATTCTTCAGCAACTCAACCTTTTAATTCTTGATTTTGACCATATAGGAAAGTACTGTCCAACAGAGATATAATGTTAATCACATATGTAAGTTTATATCTTTTAGTATCCACATTTGAAAAAGTGAAAAAAGAAACAGTTGAGATTAATTTTAATAACTTTATTTAACTTAATATATCAAAAGATTTGCATTTAAACATATAATAATTATAGTATTTATTAATGAGATACCTTATTGGCTTTTTTTCTATTAAGTATTTAAAACTGTGGTGTGCGTTTTATACTTACAGTACATTTCAATTTAGGTGATAAATTTTCATCAGAAATATTTAATCTATATTTAGATTTCAGAAAATTTATAGTTAAAAGGTAGATTTACATACTTACATTTTTTATGTAATTTAAGATTTTTCAAATACTGAATCAAATTAGTTTTTAAATTTTAATTAAGTCAAATTAAAAATTCAAGCAACATGTTAAGTGTTCAACAGCTACATGTATCAAGTGCCTATAGTATTGGACAGTGTAGTTCCAGAGAATTCTACTCCATAGGGCTGATGGTGAGCAATGTTCTATTACCACATTTCAATGCAGTTTAGCACCTTGTAGATCTTTATTTCTTTTGTTTTGTCAGTACTTCAATTTTCTTCAGAAGCTATTATTATCCTAACATATTAAGTTAGAAATTTCTGAATTGAATATGCCACATGTGGTTAATAACCCTAAAGAAAATCACGCAAAGCCTTAAAATATTCCTTTTGTCATTTTTCCATTCTCACAGACACAGAAGCTATATATAGTGACATAAAATTTTGCTCATAAGCATTTTTATTATTAAGGGCTATGACTAAACAGCTTTAATTCCATCAGAATACTGCCTTGTGCCATTTCAAGGGGAGAAGAGCTCACATAGGGATGAGTACATACTCAGTAACTCCTTTTTAAAAACAGAATGACTTTTTTTTAACCTATGCAAAGTGCATTTTCACTTAGTTTTCAATATTTGTCAAGCCTAAAGTTGTAGGTATTAATTAGGATTATTTGAATGCCATTTTAAAAATAGAGTTGTTCCTAGTCTATCTTGTTAACTAGAATGACTCCCTTTGACTGTAGTTTCTTTGTTATTAAACTTTTTTGGGGGGTTGACTTAAGTAAGTAGCCCTTTGTATTATTATGTAATATTCAGGAAAATTTCAATATGTGAGCAAAGAGTAGCAAATAAAGATAAAAAATTTGTGCATGGCCTTTAATGTGTGCTATAAAGTCTGTGGAAGCCACTGTACCAGAATCCTGGGCCCATCTTTGAGTTCCATCTCTAGTTAGCCATTACAACTTACAGGGGTGAACCTCCTGCGGGTTTTGTGACTGGTGCAAGATTGAACAGTACCACATATTCCAGTTATTTTCTTCTGTATCTTATTAATCTGGTGCATCTATGATCTCGAATAAGTCAACTTAGTGGAATTTTGTAAAATGGAAACAAATATGCCTCAGGGTCATCATGATGATAAAGATATAAGATAATATATGAGTACACTTTGAAGAGCAAAATCCAAGCTACCAGCTGAAGGACGGATTCATGTTCCAATGGTGCTGAACACCCATCACAGATGGTTGTTTATTCCCAGGTTAACTTACATAGTATTGTAATGCAAGGTACTCTTGTGTGGCTGCAGCAGTCAATGGTGACAGTGACATTGTATTAGCAGCCCCTATAGGCAGTGGTTGCTCTAGGTAACCAGAAAAGCACAAGATTATATCCTGGCAACTTCAATATACCTTGGTGATTTGGGATCTTGGCAGAGGGAATGTCAAAGGTAGACATTCTGGTAACACATAATAATTGAGGATGCAGTCTTGAAGTTTTACAGCCTGGATTCTGTTTGAGAAGTGTTGATGACCATCAAAGGAATTCTGTGATTTTCATCCGCTTTGCGAAATTGGGAGGTGCTTACAAGATAAAATGCTAAAAAAGTAAATACATAGAGGTGTTCCAGAAGAGAATATATATTGGGTGATTTTTTTTTCTCAGATCTTTGTTTGCTATTTTTAGGTCTTTTGGACCCATGCTTTAAGGGTCAAGTGTTAACTTATCAGAAACAACCTTTAATGAGTCAGGATAAAAACCATCTGGTGGAGGGACTCTTCCTTCAGATGGATGAACTTCAGGAGAGAGGAGGAATTTCCCACCATCATAAGAATCTCATTGGAGGCTTATGGAAGAAGCTCAAAAATCCCACTGGAGGTTTATGGAAGATAAAAAAAAAAAAAAAGCTATCCTCTTCCTATCACTCCTTTTATCTTCCTGCTCATCCATGAAAGGAAGCGAAAAAATATACATATTGGAAAGAAGAAGAATAGAGAGAGGGTAAGGTTTTTGTTCTAGAGGCCGAATGAGCAAAATATAAGCTCTCAAATGACATAGGAAAAAAGGCAGCATTGCTTACAAAAGGCTAAGGGTCCTGAACAATACACTATAGACATGGATATCTGCAGAATGTAACGAGGCAGGTGGGCGGAGGTGTGAGGAAGCCACCTGGATCGGGGAGGACAGTGCCCAAATCAGACACAGCTCTCCACCCTTACTAAACAAGCTAGCCTAAGTGACACTTCCTTGTGTCCCAGGAAGTGACGATCAGCCAGTGTAGATGCTGTGACTCCCGGGTCTCACTCGCTCCGGGGGTGCTGCGAGGCGCCGGGAGACCTCTTCCTCCGGCCCCATTCCCCAGGAGGCCACGCCGTCGGGACCTGAGCTCCTTGTGCTGGGGATCCTCCTGCCGCCCATTGGAGGCTGCTGGCGCTCTGGGGGCTTTTGTGCCCTTTGGCCAACTCTGATGGTGACCCTGAACCTAGCCGCCCCCTGGAGAAGTAGAGGACTGAAGGAGGGCTCAGGCGGGGACAGGAATTGAGAAATCGTGGAAACGGGGGCGGAGTGGAATTTAAGAATGACAAAAGTCCCGAGGCAGGAGAGAGGACTGTGGGATCCAGTGTAGGACTGTACCCCAATGAAACCGACAAAAAAAAAAAAAAAAAAAAGGCGACTTATTTACATCAGCTCCCTCTCACCCCAACTCGGCAAAACCCAAACCTGAATAAAAATAAAACCACCAGAGGCTCTTAGACGACCGTAAACTCTGCGGGTGGGGCAAGGCACAAAAATAAACACAGGGCCGGCCCGGCAAGAGCGCGCGGGAGGAGGAGGCGGCCCCGCATCCCTAATGAGGGAATGAATGGAGAGGCCCCTCGGCTGGCGCCCGCCCACCCGGCGGCGG